TTATAGAAATTAGTAAGAAAATCGTGATTGGTCAATTTTAAAAATTGCGCCGCAATCATTCTGTCAATTGTTTGTTCGGTCATTTGTAATTTCGGACAAATGAAAATTCGGCACTATTAAAAATTCTATCATTTAATAATAATTCGTACAAATAAAAATTCGGACAAATTAAAATTTGGTGAATTATGGAAATTTTGTCATTTAAAAATTGGAAGCACATAAAATTTGATTGAATGAAAATTCTGCTAAATTTGAATTCGGCTAATTCGGCTTAATTTGAATTCTTTTAAATAAAAAGTTATGTAAAATTAAATGACTATAAAATAAAAATTCGGTAACTAAAAATTTTGTTAAGTAAAAAATTCGTCTGAAAAATAATTATAATAAAATTCTTTAAACTGAAAATTCTAATTAATGATTTTTATGGGATAATCTGACCAAATTAAATTTTTTCTACTTGAACTAAAATTTAATTAAAGCAATTAATGAATTTCATTTATTGTAACAATTTCCACAGAAAATTCCCACAGGAATTACCAATGACATTCTATTCGGAAAATCCGTGGAAATCCCATAAAAATTTTACCATGATTCCATATGGAATTTAAATAAAATTTTTATGGACTTTCCATATAGAAATTTCATGGAAATTTGATAAAATTTTTATATAAAATCAAGAAAAATTTAATTATATTTCATACAAAAATTTATTAAATTTCTATAGAAAGTTAATGAAAATTTAATTGAACTTCCATGGAAAATTGATGAAAAATCCCTGGAAATTTGTTGAAATTTCTCTATATAAAAATTAAATGAAAATTTAATTGAATTTCATGGGAAAATTAATGGAATATCAATAAAAATATGATTGAATTTCTTTGCAAAAATAATGGAAACTCCATGGAAATTTGATGAAAAGTTTATGGAAAGTTTTTAGAAATTTATAGTAAGTTTATATATAGAAAATATATGAAAATTTGATAAAAATTCCATGTAAACTTGATGAAAAGTCTATATGAAAATTTGATGAAAATTTTATTGGTAATTTTATGAAAAATCTATTTATTTTATGGAAATTTTGAAATTAAATTAAAATCAAAAGAAATTCAATGGAAATTTGATGAAATTTCGATGGAAAATCAATGAAAATTTACTGGATATTTTATTTGGAAAATTTATAAAATCTATAGAAATTTAATTAAATTTCCTTGGAAAATTGATGGAAAATCCATGGAAATTTAATGAAAAGTCAATTGAAATTTGACGGAAAAGTTTGTGGACAGATCAAAAAAATTTGATGGTAAGTTTATGGAAAATCTATGAAAATTTTTTTGGAAATTTTATAGAAATTCTATGAAATTTTGATGGAATTTCTACGGAATGTCAATGAAAATTTATGGAAAATCCATGAAAGTTTGATTGAATTTCTTTGTAAAAAAAAAGGTTAAAGAAACCCATGTGGAAAGATTTACGGAAAAGACTTCTAAAAAATTTCCTTAAACTGTTTCCGGAAATTCTAATAAGTAATTTTTCCGGAGAAATCCGCAAACAGCTTCCGGAAAAATTTTCAAGAAGTAATTTCCGGAATTCTTGCGGAAATCCTTCGATATGGGAATTTAATGGTAAGTTTACATGGAAAATCTGTGGAAACTTGAGGAAAATTCCATGTAAACTTGCCAAAAAATATGGAAATGTAATGTAAAATTCCATGGAAATTTAATGGAATTTCCAAATTTTGAAATGGTCACTTTCCATGTAATTTTCTTAACATGGGGGGGGGGAGAGTTTAAAAATAATTTATTTATTTCAGTTAGCAATTAAAAAATTTAAGAAATTAAAAAAAAATCAATTAAAAACAACGAAATACACATTTTTCTCGGTTTCGTTATAAGAAGAAATTAAATAAAATTGCAATCCAAGGTTTCTTTCGTATGTTGAGTTCGCGTGTGCACGTCACATTGTTTTGTCCCCCTTCCCTTCCCACTCTATAACCACGTTGCGATTTACGTATAATGCGTATGTAAATTTACTAACTCTCATACCCGTACATTAAAAAAAAAAAAAAAAAAAAAAATACACTCCACGGAACAAAAATGAAAGCACAAGGGGAATACGTACTCCAATTACAAAAGTACTTGTCACTGTCCCAGTCGAGAGCAGTGAAAATAAAAGAATTCTGACATTTGAAAATGAAATACGTGAATCAATTATTTCGATCTATATAGAGATATATATATATATATATATACATGTTTCGATTAATAGCAAACATCCATTTTTGCAAATATCGAGATTTTACCTTTTTTTTAAATAATTCAATAATAAAAAACTATTTGAATTTAACTCTCAATTAAATTGTTTTTGATAATTAAGTTATTATTGTTCCTGACAATAATGTCAACAAATAATAATAACAAAAAACCAATACCAATAAATCAATTAATTAATAAATATACGAATGTAAATTTAGTGTTTGATATTATTGTAATTTGTTTAAATGATTTGTTTATATATCAATTTCCTTTAATTTAGTTACCGCAAAATCTATATTTATCAATTTCGATAAATAAATAAAACAAATTCACACTTCTAAATTTTATTTACAATCAGAGTTATGCAAAATAAAATTATTTTCTTTTATAGAATTTTAAATTCCTATAGAATTGTAATACTGAATATTGCATTGAGAAGAAAACTTAATTAAAGCATATCCATTAAGGGAAAATTTTACATTCATATAGATATTTTCGTATTTCTATTTATTTATACCTATAAATTTAAATTCAAGGCGTATTCTAAAGGAAACAGTAAAAATATTTTTCCTATTTAAAAATAAATATCTTAATCAAACTTTCATTTAAAAAAAAGTCAATCTGTCTAATAAACTGATTAAATGAACGGATATCAGATTTTTATTTGTTTCTATTTCGTAATTATACTATTTATTCTCTTTTATAATTAAATTTGATATCTCCAAAAGGGTATATCATGAAGTGTTTTTAAATGTATCATATAACATAATATCCTGTTGATAATTAACTTTTTCAATATATCGGTATATAATTTACTTCTTGTTTTTAATAGTTCTACATTTTAAATAAATTTTTAATAAATCAATCTCGAAAAATTGTAATCTCTAAAAGAAAGTTTTTTAATATAAAAAATTGTTTAGTATAAAATTGCAGGTCAATTTTAATTTTAAGTTACTTCTACTTGGAAGTTATTTCTAGTTGTAAGTTATTTTTATAGATGTAAGTTAATTCAAGTTCTATAAGTACTTTCTAGTTGGAAGTTATTTCTAACTGTAAGTTAATTGAAATTGTAAGTTACTTCTAATTGTAAGTTACTCCTAGTTGTAAGTTATTTTTTTAGTTGTAAGTTACTTTCACTTGTAAGTTTATTCTAGTTGGAAGTTATTTTTTTAGTTGTAAATTAGTTATTGTTCTAATTACTTTCTACTTGGAAGTTATTTTTTAGGTTAGAAGTTATTTATATAGTTGTCAGTTACTTCCACTTATAAGTTAATTCTAGTTGGAAGTTATTTTTATAGTTGTAAGTTAATCATAGTTGTAAGTTATTTTTATAGTTGTAAGTTAATCCTAGTTGTAAGTTATTTTTTTAGTTGGAAGTTAATCCTAGTTGTAAGTTATTTTTTAGTTGGAAGTTATTTATATAGGTGTAAGTTACTTCCACTTGTAAGTTTATTCTAGTTGGAAGTTACATATTTTTTTGGTGTAAATTAGTTTTAGTTCTAAGTACTTTCTAGTTGGAAGTTATTTTTTAGTTGTAAGTTACTTCCACTTATAAGTTAATTCCAGTTGGAAGTTATTTTTATAGTTGTAAGTTAATCATAGTTGAAAGTTATTTTTATAGTTGTAAGTTATTTTTTTAGTTGGAAGTTATTTATATAGTTGTAAGTTACTTCTAAGTGTAAGTTAATCCTAGTTGTAAGTTTTTTTTTAGTTGGAAGTTATTTATATAGTTGTAAGTTACTTCTAAGTGTAAGTTAATCCTAGTTGTAAGTTTTTTTTTTTAGTTGTAAGTTAATTCTAGTTATAGGTTCTTTCTAGTTGGAAGTTACTTCTACTTGTAAGTTAATTCTAGTTTGAAGTTAAATAAGTTATTTCTAGTTATAAGTTATTTCTTGTTGTAAGTTCTTTCTAGTTGGAAGTTAATTCTATAGTTGGAAGTTATTTCTAGTTGTACGTTAATTCCAGTTGTCAGTTAATTAGAATTGTAAGTTAATTTTAGTTGTAAGTTACTCCTAATTGTAAGTTTATTTTACTTTAAATTATTTCAATCTGTAACTTATTTATACATGTAAATTATGTTTAGTTGTAACTTCCTTCCAGTACTAAATATATAATAAAATGTTAAAAAAAAAATAAAAAATTTCCAACATTCTTTATATCATTAAAAAAAATTCCTAAATCATAATTAACTAAACAAATCATTAAACAACTTCATCTTCTAAAAAAGAAATTCCCTTTTATCAAGAAAGAAGACGACACCTGCGTCATCCTCTTATCGCGTTAAATCTCAAAGGTATTCCTTGGAGATTAGCTTGACATTTCAAAGCTGAATGGATCCTCAGCATCCCGAAGACAGAAAAGGGGCAAAAAAAAGAGAGAGAGAAGAGAAAAAAAGGAGATGAGAAGGGGGGTGAAAATCAGAGATCAAAACGATCCCTTGCCGAATCGCGATCACGAGGCGGAGAGTCGTGATTTAAGGGCTTTATCTGTCGCGCCTTATCGCGTGCGACTGATAAGAACTTGGCGGTTACGACCTAGAGTACCGAACGTACAGAAGAGAATGGAAGAAGCCAAAGAGTTGGTGGGGCTGAAGCAGGAAGATTGGTACAAAAAACAAAGAGAAAGAGAGGGTGGAAAAGCCGAAAGAGAGAGAGAGAGAGGGAGAGTGCGTGCGACGTTTTGCGGGAGAGGAGGAATAAAGAGGAGAGGGGGGGAGAGCGAAATGCCGACGGTGAGGGTCGTCGTCGTCGTAGAGGTGCGAACCTGACGGGAATTCGAAAGGCAACCAGTCGCTGTTTGCGCGCCGTCGAGGTCGCGCTTCATATATTAAAAAAAAAAAAGAAATATAAATTCTTTCAAGGAACGAAAAAACATTGTTTATTCATTGTGTTGCACGTGACAACAAGTTTCATTCATATTTATACCAACTGAAAAATTTAAAACCATTTTTTGAAATACAACCTAAATAAACCCAACTACTAAATAATAAAATATAACCTTTTTTGAAAATGCAAAACTCATCAAGGAACAATGATAATTAAGTGCAATGAAACATTCCTGGTCATCAGTTATTCAAGTGGTACGTGCAGATTGTGACCACCGAGAGTGCATTTTGCCTCGGGGAAAATTAATCACAAGCACGAATGTCGTGCAATTAATTTTTCCTGCAATGCGACACCTGGACTTGATTTTTAATTAGGTATATTGCCAATCAGGAAATATATATAATTGCTATTTTGCAAATGGAATTCAATATATAATTATTATAATTATAACGAAATTAAATATTGGCATTAGTGATCTTTTTTTTCATTTTCTCTGGCAGATAAAAAATATATAAACGATTGTGATGAAAGATAGTTTGTATATATGAAAGGCTCAAGAAATAAAATTAATGTGAAGAGTTTATCACCGCGGATTATAAAATTGATAAAAAATAAATCGAGACCGAGTTTAATAATTTTAAAAAATGATTTTTAATGACGACGGTAATAAAAAAATTATTTTCAATATAAATATATATATATTTTTAATGCGCTCTGTCATGCGTTGGAAATTTGTATTTATATATATATATATAATAAAATAGTCGACGCGATCTTGCACGTTTCTTACCGCAAACTGACATTTACACAGCCTTATGTAATGTTATCGCGTACAGAGTGGAATTTTTCCCCGCATCTAGCCTTTGCTGATACATCTAACCACAAATAACGAAACTAACAAGAGGAGTAGCCTAGAATTTTTATTGGTTCTAACTTTAGACATTATTCACAAAGAGATTCCTTTTTTTTGCGCAAATACACCGACACTTAGTTGAAAGCAATTTTTTTTTTTTTTTTTTTCAAAAAAAGTGAGATAAAATATTCATTGAGAATTATTGAAGAAATTAAATACATTACAAAAATTCAAGAAATAAAATAAATACAAAAAAAACGAGAGAAAAAAAATGATTACAAATAATTCAAGAAATAAAATAAATACAAAAATTCGAGAAATAAAATAATTACAAAAATTGAAGAAATAAAATAACTAAAATGATGAAATATGATATAAATTGCGAATTTCAAAAAGAAGATAGAAAGATGAACTTTGCTATCGTACGAATTTAAAAATAAAATTCTGCGATATTGAAAATGCAAAAAAAAAGTGCAATCACTGAGAGTAAAGGAAAACCAAGACGAAAAATTTATTGCGAAGAATATTCGGAAATTATGATTAATGAAATATTTCATAATTGTTAATAAACATGATAATAGTAATAATAATAAAAAATAGTGACAATAACAAAAATAGTGATATTAAGAAAAATAATGACAATAATAAATATAATAATGGATAAATAATTATAATAGTTAATAAACATAATAATAATAATAATAATAATAATAATAATAATAAAATTAGTGATAATAAAAAAATGACAATAAAATATAGTAATGGATAAATAATCATAATAATTAATAAACATAATAGTATGATATAATAAAAGATGAAATCTATTTTCAATTTCAGTGTTCTGAAATTAGAATTTATCAATACAAAATTAATTTACTGTTAAGCAACATCAGAAATAAATTAATAAGCTCTTGATTATCTTTTCTCAATATTGGAGTCAACAAAAGTTGTGAATTAATACAATAAATAATAGAATTCAAGATAAATACCAAATGATTTAAATAATAAATTTAATAAACATTAACAAAATTCATATAATTATAAAATTTTCCCCAAAAAAACTAGTAATATAAATTGTTATTTTTAAACAATAAACAAAATTACTACCATATTATTTATTGTTCTAATTATTATAATCATTACAATTGCTTTCATTACTATTATTATTATTATTATTTTGTTACTATTATTTTTTTCAATAAATTATTATTATTATTATTATTCTGTTACTATTATTTTTTTCAATAAATTATTATTATTATTATTTGTTATTTATTTCTGTTATTATTTTTTAAGACTTTGTTATTATTTTGTCATTATTATTTTTTGAAATTATTATTATTTAATTGAATTTGAAATTAATTTCGTACTTTAAATAATATTTAACTTTCTACTCTGAATTTGAAATAATATTGTACATTAAAATTTGAATTCATGAAAAAATATTAAAAAAAAATTAATCCCATTAGTCAATATAATATTGAACATATTTTCAACTGATGTACATAGTAAAATTGAATGACTTTTTAATTTACTCTCATCTTTACAAGATTCTGCTTTTGACATTATCGGAAATTCTGCAATACTGTTATTGACTAATTGATCAATTTATTTTCAAGTAGTTGATTTCCGAATTTTCCAAATTAACTATATAACATGGAAGATTTTACTCAAGATAGAAATAAGAAATTTTTCCTCAGAGCTAAATTTTCCTCCCCAACAAATCCGATTAATTATCATATCAATTATTATTCTATTTAATATTATTAAAAATTCCAAATGTAGTTTATGGAAATAAAGGTATATAATGAAAATAAATTATTATTAAAAATAAATTATTATTAATAAAAATAAATTATTAAAAATTCCAATAAAATAGAAATAAACATTAAATTTAAAAACACAAATTAAAATTTAATTTAAAAAAATAATTTTAAATTGAATTTAAAAAAAGAAATTTTAATTTAAAAATAAAAAAATTAAAATTTAATTTACAAACAATAAATTTAAATTAAATTTCAAAATTTTATTATTTTATAAAAATCATAAAATGTTAAAGATAAATATTTATCGAAATATTTACCAAAGTTAAATATTAAACAAATATTTTCAATTTTCGTCATTTATAATGTTGATTTTTCCCCTAAACACACGCAAAGATTCAGCAAATATTCTAATTGCTTCCAGTGAAGGAAAATTATTCATCGACTTTGTGACGGGATTCTGAGAGCGAGAGAGAGAGAGATGGTGAAAATTGCAGATGCGATATCTTAAGTAACCATGTGTTAAAAGTTTTAGCAACTTTGGCGAAAGTATATAGAGAATATATGGTTGATAGAGAGAAAATGGGCCACGAGGCATCTTCACGTCACACGTTATCTTTTCAAATGTTAGAGAAACTGTAGAAGAAAATTCAAATACCTTGAAAGCCCAGGGCTTACCTTATATACAAAAGAAAAAGAAGAAAAAAATTTACAGAATGATAAAAAAAAGTGTGTGTGTGTGATAACATGAAAAAAATGTATATGACCAATGTACTTAAGAAAAAAGAAATAAAAAAGAGATAAAAAATAAAGAGAGAGAAAAAAAAAGAATCGACAAAGTAGCCTTGAAAAAAAAAACATAGATAAATTTTACACGCGTGTAAACCAATGACATCTCACGAAATGTAGGTCATTCGCATGGGGAATTGGGTGATTGAAAATACGCCCGATAACGTATTATCAAAGCTTTCCCCCCCTCCTCTTTTCTATATCGATCCGTATAGAAACTACATATATATATATAAAATAAATCCGACTAGGGTTTGATTTTAAATTCCATTAATTTGAAATTTACTCGAGAGCATAGTGACAGGTAATGCTTTCACACTTTGCCTATATTCCCAAAAGTATTAAGCCAAGGCGAGAGCGAAAAAAAAGAGATTTATTAACAAGACATGACGCACAGCGTTACAATTGACTTTTTGATAAATGTTTCAAAAAAAATTTTTATAGATTCGTAAAAAAAAAAATTAGCATATATTTTGTAATAAATATTTTTCTTTACGAAAAATCAGAAAAGAATTTTTTTCTTAAAAGAAAATAGAAAAGAATAGAATTTTTTTTCCCATTGAAAAAAATTATTATTTTCATCTAAATTAAGAAAATTAATATTTTATATAATAAATTAAAAAATATTTTTCTTTATAAAAAAAATTGAGAATTTTTTTCTCGTTTAAAAAAAAATATTTCGATCCGCAAAAGTCATATTTCAATTGACATTAATGGAGAAAATTAATATTATAGAAATAAATCGAAATTTAAAAAAAAATTTGTTTACATAAATGATGTTGCACTAAATATATATATATTTGGAACGTACATAGTATCCTTAAACAAGCAGGACGAAATCAGCGCAATTATCGTAAAGCCAAAGGTTTGGAATTCGAGTATTTATGGATATCCGTTAACGAGGCATAAATCACTCGGTGAGGAATGTTTAATCAAGGAAACAGACCGGCCGAGAGGAAAGTTAACTAAACGTGAAATAATTTGTGTACTCTACATCTGTATAATTTCTCTCTCATTTTTTTTCTCTCTTTTTTTTATAGACGCACCTTTGCCCTTTTTTTCGAAAAAGAAAAACATTAAAAAAAAAGAGAGTAATTTTAAATGAAACAATTTCCCGTCAATATGGAATGACAGTTTGAAAAATACTTGGGAAAAAAATTTTTCACGAGAGAAAATAAAAAAAAAAGAAACATGAAAAAAGTTTAAATGAGTATTCTTTAGTTGTTTTTTAAAACCTGTTTTTCTTTTCAAATTTTTTTTTTCCGGTTAATTATTCTAAACCACATATGTATATATATACACGTACACGCTTTCCTGGCATTTACAATTCGTTTTAATTATGTAATAGTTGAAGCAAATTCCAACCGACAAATAATGGGAGTACAAAGAGTCATTTACGGTTTACCTTAACAGAGACCTATATATACAAATTAGTCGACGTTTAATTTTGGTAACATTAATTAATTCAGACCTCTACTATGAATAATAATGAACCTAATCAATAAATAGTTCATTACAATTATATCATTTATAATCGATAGTTTTTAAAATAATTTATTATTATAATTATTATTATTTATTATTTTATTTAATTATTTAAATAAAGTTTAAAAATAAATTACTAAAATAACTTTAATATGACGAGTTATAATTTGTCAAAATGTCAAATATGAAAGTTCATTTAAGAACAAAGTTTCATTTTAAACCGCTATAGCGAAAGTTCTAACTTTTGTTTTTCTTTCCTTACGTAATCATTAAGTCGACTATTATATTCAACTTTTTTTTTTATATATATAAATATATGTATTATTTTTTATATAAAAATTAAATTTTGTTAGGGCAAAAAAAAATTAAGTTTTCATAAAGCCTAATAATTAAACGTCAAAAAGATAAGATGACACATATTTTATAGTAACTTGAAAGATATTTTTATATATCACTATATATTTAATATTCAGCAACAATTACAGGGCAGGGTTTGGATTAAACGAGATTCGGGGCGATAATCCTCGCGATTCGACCCGGCGCTCGAGGCTTGGACGTGAAGAGAGTAAGAGAGTAAGAGAGTAAGAGAGAGAGAGAGCTCGTTAAGTTAATCAAGGTACGAGGCTCGTAAAACTTTGCACGCCCTCGAGAGAATTTCATTCTGTCGTCGCGGGAGAGTTGAAGAAGGAAGCCGGATAATGAAAAGCAGGAGAATGGAGACATTGTTCCTAAGCCATAACTTTATGGAAAACACTTTACGACGCTACTAAAAATCCCCCTCCACACATCCCCGAGAGTGTGAGAGGGGGGGGGGAGTTTCGTATTCGACGATTCATTTTACGTCACGCGAAATTTGTCATTTTTACGATGAACCAAAATTTCCACGCACTCAATTAAAAATACATTTTACATTGCGTTCTTCCTCTTATAAGAGAGAAATTGAGTATTTCCGTTTACTTCGATTTCATTTTCCAAAAAAAGATTCCACCGAAAGTGACCACAGGAATTTACAAGAAAATTCCTTTTTGGAAATTTCGTAGAAATTCCCTCATTTCCATGGAATTTCCATCAATTTTCCATGCGTATATTCCAGTTCATTTTCATTTTCCATCAATTTTCCACGAAAATTCAAGTTAATTTCCATGGACTTTAACATCAATTTTTCATGAAAATTCCAATTAATTTCCATTGAATTTCCACAAAAATTATATCATATTTTCCATTAAATTTTCATAGACTTTATATATATATATACTTTCTATCAAATCTCTATATAAATTTTCCATAAACTTGTCGAATTTCCTTAAACTTTCCACAAATATTCCATCAAATTTTTCTATTGATTTTCGATCAAGTTTACATGAAATGTTCATAAAATTTCTATGGACTTTCCATTAATTTTCCAAAAAAAAATTTAAGAAGATTTTGATTGACTTTCCATAGAAATTCTATCAAATTTCCATCGAATTTTCATAGACTTTCCATGAAATTTTCATGGATTTTCCATAAACAAGCCAAATTTCCTTAGACTTTCCATAAAAATTCCATCAAATATATTCATAGACTTTCCATTAAGTTTACATAGAATTTTTATCAAATTTTCATGGAATTCCCATACATTTTTCAATGAATTTTTATTCACTTTCCTCGAAATTCTATTAAATTTCTATGGGCTTTCCATTGTTTTTACTGAGAAATTCAACCAAATTTTCATGCAATTTCCATCAATTTTCCAAAGAAATTAAATTTATTTTGACTTTGTATTAAAAATCCATTGAATATTCATCAATATTCAATGGATTTTTCATCAAATTTTCCAAAGCAAATTTCAACGGATTTTTAATTAATTTTCCAAGGAAATCCCAGTAACTTTCATATTTTCCATAGACTTTCCATAGATGTTCCATCAAATTTTTATGAACTTTCCATCATTTTTCCAGAGAAATTAAAATCAAATATTCATGGAGTTTCCATAAATTTTCTTGGAATTTCCATGGAAATTCCATTAAATTTGCATGGTCTTTTCATTAATTTTCGAAAGAAATTCAATTTTTTTCCAACGGACTTTCCACAAATATTCCAAGGAATTTCCAGTAAATTTTCATGGACTTTCCATAAATTTTCTTGGAATTTCCATTAAATTTGCATGGTCTTTTCATTAATTTTCGAAATAAATTCAATTCTTTCAATAAATTTCCCAAGGGAATTCCAGTAATTTTTTTATTCAATTTCCATAAAACTTCCATGGATTTTCCAACGTTTTTCCAAAGAAATTAAATCAAATTTTTCCACGGATTTTCGATAAATTTTCCAAGGAGATTCCAGTAAATTTTTAGACTTGCTATAGAAATTCCATTATACAATTCTATGGAATTTCTATTAAATTTTCACAGACTTTACAAAATTTGCCACAAAATTTTTTTTTGATATATTTTCCATAAACTTATCCAATTTCCATGGAATTTCCATTAAGTTTACATGGAATTTCATGGACATTCCATCAACTTCCGAAGTAACTTCTAAGTAAATTTTCATGGAATACTTATATGAAAAGTCCATGTAATCTTGGAAATGGAAATTCCATGGAAATTCCCTGGAAACTTGGTGAAATTTCTATGCAATTGCCTTAAAAATTCCTGGGTCACTTTCAGTGGAATTTTTTCTAATAATTTAGCGCCAAATTACTTACAAAACGGAATTTGAATTCACGTATATAATAAAAATAACTAAATTAATTATTAAATTATATTCAAACAATTAATTTCAATTCAATTAATACCGAAAATAATAAGATATAATTTTCTCTATACTATTTAGAAGCAGTTCAAGTTTCTATGTATATATATAATATATACGGAAAATAGAAGATATGGTGTAATTCGTGATTTCCCCTTGAGAATCCTATGCTAATGCGCGAGAAATTATTATGGGCGGAACAGACGCGTCTGGCGATCACCGCGTACAGGCCATTATGCGAATTCGTAATATAGAGATGCGGGGGAAGGTACAATCAAGTTTCGAGAGAAGTGAGAAATTTCAATAATTAGGAAGTCCAAAGTTCGAACTGTCTGTGTATGTATATATGTATGTGTGTGTGAACTTTGATATCCGGCCTCGCAGGAGAAACCGACCCCTTATTCTATCCATTTAAACACCAAGGCTTAACGCGTTGTTCCGACACTTATTGGGGTCGATCGCCATTTAATCCGCGAACTAGGAAAAAGAAAAAAAAAGAGGGAAAACCCGCAAAAACTTTTCCTGTCTGATTAGAGACAAATTTAAATCGAATTAATTGGAAAAATTACTTTTTTTTTATTTTATTTGTCAAATAACGAGGAGTAAAAATTGTTTACCCTTTGGGAAAAATTTGCAAAGAAAATAAGATTCGATCTTCTCGAGAAAGAATGGGAAAAAATTTGTGGTTGAGTTTGACAATCTTTTTCGAGATTCGAATGGGAAAAAAAAAGTTATATGACGTTGGGTACGTGGTTAAATAAACTTCATTTAAATATCTTACATCACCTGCACTCAAACGCACCTGGTTAAAGTGTCATATAGTGAAACGGGCGTGTTTTTAACACACTGGCTTTTCGTTTACACTTTTGCATATGCATATATATATAGTTCGTACATATACGTCAATCACGTGGTGTACCGTGAATGCAATTCATGTGGAAATAAAAGTTCTGCTCACAGTTGCAGAATGACTTCAAAAACTAAACAGCTCGCGGGTAATCTCTTTTAAATCCCAAAGTAATTAATTTTTTTTCAAAAATAGATTCCAAAGACGAGAAAAAGCGAATATCAAAAAAGGAAACAAAAAATAAACAAAAGTATTCGAATATTAATAAATTTCTAATCAATAGTATATTGAAATATTAAATATTCCTTCTGTTGAAGTGCACTCTATGCGAGAGTTTGAAGAAGTCTATGCAAAATTAAAACATTCATGATATCCCTGGATAGTTAACGAGTGGAGGTAAGACATAAATTTTCTGCCAAGTTTCTAGGCCAGCTAAAGACAATTTATCGCGGTTAGAAAAACCTTAATGCTGAATCCTCAAGTTTCGAATCTTGTATTCCTTTGCCGAACGATGCGGAAATTTTACTCGAAAACAAAAAAATTACAGTCATATTATTCTTTTTCGAATCAATAATCTGAATCACTTTTCTGTTTAGAAAAAAAAACATGATGAATAGTATATTACTTACTAATGTCCTTGCTAAAGTAATGAGATTATTACCAGTTATCAAAGTGGTTACGCAATTGAGGCCGCGCATGTTGCTGAGAAAAAAAAAGGAGAACAAAAACACTCTTATATAGCTTATGGTATACAAATCGAAATGAAACACGAACATAAAGAAAATATTCTTCTCGTTAATAAAATAAAATTCTGCTTTAAAATAGAAATTCAGTTTCAGTTCATTTTTGAGCTTAAAATTATATTTTTCTTTTTTTGGAATAGAAATCAAAATTTATGTTTACCATTTTTTAAAACGAATATTTTTCTTACAGAACGAAGCAGAGAATTTTTTTGACAATGATTGGAGGATCGGATTCATTTTCATCATCAAAAGAAGCACTTTGGATTGAATGTGAATCTCTTTGATGAAAAGAAAAAGTCGAAAAAAACGATAAATTACACACTATGGACCGGAATAAGAGAGAAAAGAGATTCGTTGTCAAAGTGAAACTCATTTACACGAGGAACAATGAGTTTGTGAATGTGACAAGTGTTTGTCCTTGATTTTCATTTTAATTTCTTTTTTTTTTGTTTTAATTTTCCCTCTTTTTTTTTTTTGCCCCAAAACCACAGAAGAGAATTGGTTTTTGTTGACAAATGTGGGTCTTTGAAAGTAAAAGGGTGATAGTAGGGGTGGGAAAAAGAAAACGTTAAGTTGTTAAGTGGAGAAAATGGGAGCAACGGGACTGGTGCTGGGGAGTGCAATCCTCGGACTATTTTGTACCAGTTTCCCAAAGGGCGCAATGACCATTCCAACCAACAGGTGTGACGCACCACCGCCATGTACCTGCGATGATCACGGCCGAGTAACCTGCGATTGTAAGGACGAGGGCAAGGTAAGATTTATCAAAAAAAAAAAAAGCATCCAAGAGGACTATTATAATTTATCCTGAGGGCTCCCCTGAATCCTTATTTACAAGAAACCGGTTTTTTGAAATAAAATCCACCCTCTATGTCTACTCTATTTCCGTTCTTTACAAAAGAAATATTTAGAAAAATAGAGGAATAAAAAAACATTACCTAAAGTATCACATTCTGCTTTAATTTTTAGGTAAAAAAATTTTTTTTTCAAATTTCACTAAGGTACAAATTATTTATAAACAATTATACTAATGACAATTATAATTAAATCTGCCGACAGCAAATGTTTAATTTAATTTCAGCATAGTTTCACTTGCTCTGAAATTCTTCATCTGTATCAATTTTACGTTAGTTACTTCTGCTACCCGGAGCTTAAATTAATTCATTTACAAACAGTTGAAAACAGTTAAAGTAAATCCTACGAGGATTTGTCGGCAAAAAATATATATATATTTTAATTCATTAACAATTAGTGGTCCAAATTATTAAAAGTTTGTTATATTTTTGATAAAATGAAATATTAATATGTAAATTATAAAATTTGCCATTAAAAATTAAATTATTAAATGGGGCAAATGTTTTTATAATATAACAATTATAATATAAAAATGATTACAATATACAATCCGCTACATTATTAAAATTATTGCAATATAAAAATTATAATATAAAAATGATTACAATATACAATCCGCTACATTATTAAAATTATTGCAATATAAAAATTATAAATATAACAATTTTCTCGAATTTTTACGATACAATAATTTTAATAAAAGAATTATTATAATGTAAAAATTATCATATATTATTAAAATCAATTACAATATAAAATTATTCCAATATAAAAATTACTATAATATAAAAAATTAAATTTTAAAAATTAAAATAATTGTAAAAAATTAATTTTTGTATTTTCACGTAATAAGTTTGTTCGAATATAAAATAATAAAACGCTAGTATTATTTTTGAAACACCATATATTACAAAGTGAAATGTCTGTTCGAATCCCTAACCCAGTGCTCCAATTCAGTTTTTCGATTCGGGAAAAATTCCCGCGGGAGTAGAACGGAACACTCGCAATTTTACTCTTTTCTATATAGCATACATATACCAGTCACACTGCGGGTTCATAAAAAAAAATAAAAAAAAAACTACGAAAAGGCCTTATTCGACAGATTGGTCAGTTTTATTCCCTTCTACTAAAGTGATTTCCCTTTTTTCAATTACCGATGCATTTCCGTCGTCGCTCTCTCTATTCCAGGTTAACCGCGTCATTTTATTATTTATTTTTCTAATCCCCCTCAAATTTTATCCAGAATAGTTATTTACTCAATATTTTAACCGCGTGATCGATATTTACTCAATCTATTATATATTTATTTATCAAATATTTAAGTATTTTTTTATACGTGTTTTAATTTAAAAAAAAAATAAATAAAAAAACGCGATTAAAATTTAAATTAAATTAAATTAAAATTTAATTTTGAATTAAGTAGCGAATTTAAAATTTATTGTTCTCTTTTACATTCTTCGAGATTTATTTATAAACTAGAAAAAAATAGATTATATAAATTCAATGTCAAGATTTAATGTATAATTTTTCCATCTGTTATTTTCTTAATTGATATATAACAGTTGTATATATCGGAAATTAAATACAAGAATTGTTACTAATTATCATGTGTGATAAATGAGAATAAATTTATGATAATAAAATACAAGTTGATAGTAAATAAAAAAATACTGAAAATATGTTTTACATTCGTCATCTATTAATATTTATTAATATTTAATTTATGTTTAAATGTTTAAGCCAAAATTTTTCGAAAATAATTTTATTTTTTTCTAAAAATCAATATCTAATTTAATATTAATAGTTAATTTAATATTAAATTTAATGTTCAATTTAATATTTATTTTCAATAAAATATTATTTTATATTTCATAAAATATTTATAAAAATAATATTCAAAAAAATATTTTCATTTTAAAATTGAAATACCTCCAATTAAAATTTTTTTTTTCAAAAACGTTCCATCATCATTTTCCCTCTAATATCGAACCATTTGACAAGAAATAAAAAGAAGATCGAAAATGAGATTATTGCAAATAAAAAGAAAAAAAAAAGATCAAAATACTTTTATTTTCTTATACGAGTCTCGTTGGGGTAGTTTCGTTTCAAATCGTTAAAATAACACTCTCGGGTTATAAGAGGGGTGTTTTTTCCTCGACCGTCATAAATTAGAGCGTGTTTACGCCAATCGGTATAGTCGACAGGGTAAAGGTACATATATATATATATATATATATATATATATATATATATATATATATATACGTATAAGGTGACGTATCGTGAAATTTATTAGGGTAGGTCAATCTCCCTCTCTTTTCGAAAAATTGCAGTTCACTTGACGAATCACAGACACGTGACCGTATAAAATATTCCACTATAAAATATATAGCACTCACACAAAATTCCAACTTAGAAAAGTATCTATCTCGATGAAAATTGAAAATGGATATAGATATAAGAATCAAAGAGAAATATTACACCTCTTTTTTATTTAAATAAACTTTTATCATTCAGTCACAAAACAAAATAAAACGAAATAAAATTTTCGCAAAAATTTAAAAAAAACATATTAATAAAAAATAATAATAAAAATACTACTACTACACTAATTATAATAATAAAAATAATTATAATAATACACGGGAAAAAAACTTTATCTGGAACAACGATATGTTTCTCTAGAATAGCGAAAACTTTCGCTGTTTCAGGTAAAAAAGAATTTTTCCGTGTTTTATAGTAATAATAATAATAAAAACATTTAATATTAAATAAAAATCGAATCCCAATAATAACGTAATTATTGCTTTTTTTTGCAAAATTTTTGAATTAAAATAAATGAAAACAATAAAATTAAATCAATTTGTCTTAATAAAGAGAATATAAAAAATATTGGCAAACTATTGAAAGCGATTTTTCACTCCAAAATCTCAGTTTTTTTTTTTTTTATTTTACGACTTAATCAAGACTCACATTTATAAATATAAAATGAGTGAAGAACAAAAAAAAATTGTACTTCAAATATAAAAATCAATTGAAATTACTCAATAAATGACAAGAGCTTTTATTATGCTCATAAATCACATGAAACTTATATATATATTTCTTTTTTACTTCAATATATTTATATAAAAAAAAGAAGAAGTTTCAATAATAATAAATACTTATTCTTGTTTTATAAAACTTGATGTGCGATGAAGAAAATACAACCCAGCTGCGTATAACCCGTCTCGATATAAAGTGACATCAAACCTACTCGCGGAACACGTTCAAGAGAACAAAATTAAGAAAACCAGTTTTCAAACTATATTCAACTATTTTCCCAAGATAACATGGAATGTTATAACGTTTTTCATTAAATTCTGATCTTTTTTTTTTTATCACATATCTTGTTTTTATCAATTCAATATTTTTCTCATATGAACCGCAAAATAATAATAATAATAATAATATATAATAAAAATTAATAAAAATAATCAAAAAAATCAAAAAATAAACATTTACACACTGATAAAAAAAAGATAGAATTTTTTAATCGAAATGTAATATTAATTAAATATTTGTTTTCACAGTCACTAATAATGATATAGAGATTGGATTTTTTTGTCCGTTCGCGTGGATTTTGTATAATAGGGATCAAATGTTCATTTATAATTCAATGCAAATAATCAATTAAATGAGCTTTTATAGGAATACAAAAGCTCAAAAGAGTTGTAACAATTCCAATGGATATTTTCAACTTGCCATTGTGTGTATTACGAAGGGAGAGAGAGAGAAAGAGAGAGTAAGAGAAATTTTGCAACGAATACGTTTCAATAAACGGAAAACGAGAATCCGAGAATAAAATTCGATTAATGACAATAATAAATTATAATAATGGTTTCATTTTACATGATAACAGATAAGATTATATGTATATGAATACTAAATAAGCCACAAGTATGGATTTAAATCCATATCTATATTAAAATAGACAAAAAAAGTTTTTTAAAAATTTTTTAAATAGCTAAAAGAAGAATTAAAAAAATAACTAAAAAGAGTATAAAAATTAATATATTAAAAAAGAGACTATGAATTTTCCATATTCAACACAAAAGTTCTATTCATTTTTTTTCTATTTTTTTGCTTTTTTAGTATTTTATTCACTGACCCAATTATATAAATATATATAGTAATACTGCGCGGAAATACCATTATTTTAAGTAAAAATTATTCACCGTATTTTAATCCATATTTTTTTATATAAATATAAAATAAAATTTTTGCAAAAAAATAAATTTTTTCTATAATTCTAGTTACGTGTAAAAGACAAAGAATTTTTTTTTTTTTTCAATAAAATAAAAGATTCAAAACACGAATATAATTCGTGCGTAAAACACATAATGCCCTGGGATTCATATAGAATAAGCAAGCTGAACAATAAACTCGGTTCATAAAAATTGAGTCTGTGACGAAATGACCGCGCGAGACAAGAAACTGGTCCCACGAGATTTTATTCCTATTTTTTAGCTCGACAAATGCCATATATATAGAAAAGTAAGACTATTTTTAACATTATATTTATTTTCGGCAAGTAAATCCTTTTTTCAAATTACTTAATTTGTAATATCAATTTTATTTTATTGAATATTTACTGCTATTTTTATTATAATTATTATTATTAATATTATTATTAAAATTATAATAATTATAAATAAATACAAAATAATTATTTATAAATAATAGTAATTATAATAATTATTATTTTTTTTATCATTATCTCTATTTTTGTTGTTATTATTATTATTATTATTATTATTATTTATTGGATAGGGTTTTCGTAATTTTCGGTTAAAAATTTATCAAAAAAAATTTAGTATTGTAAAATTTACAAAGACACATTTATTAATAGCTCTGTGC